GATAGTTGAAAGATCAAGACCAACTATGAACATAGATGACAAGATCAACGACTAGATTTTCACTTATGGATACACGCCAACTCGAATGCACTCAAATACTCTGTAAATTATCTCATACCCTAATTGGTCACGTCATTCCACGTGTCAAGAATGGGTAACAAATTGTTTCATCAATGGGACCGCATTAAATATGCATGTTCCTCATTATCAATCCATCTCAAATGCACTCAACTCAACCCAAAATATAAAAACGGTTAACATGCGAATAGCAAGATACACAATCTATGATCTCCACTTTCATTATTCTCATCTTAAATCTTATATTGACTTGGACATTGGAGTTTAACCATATTGGTCCATCCCGCACCATTGTAAAAGAGATTAAAACTATCGTTCAAAATCACCGATTAACCATTTCTCTTCATTTCTAATTCCTTCACAAAATTAGAACATCCATTTTTTTTTCTCAAACAGAACAACGGCTCTGTCACTTAGCTAATAGTCAAAACCATAATTTAATATAAATAAAATTTATCTGCCTACATTTTAAACAAATTATTGCAAGATTTTTGCATGAATCAACTTTTAAAATTACAATTTTTGAAAGAAAAAACAAACTTTCAAAATGTGATATATTTTCCATCTTATGGAATTCATTTATAACCCATCTAGGTCATAATTGTTTTAGTTTAAACTAATTATTTTTTCACAATTCACCCCTCCCCTCTTCTTGTGTGTAAAATAAGATGCTCAACAAGACTTTCAAAAAAAAATTCAAAAATATAATCATACAATATTTCAAAAGAAAATGTGTTCATAAAATAAATATATTTTTATACCATTTGTTACTTTTGACTTTATAGCATCAAAAACTACAAATCTTTTAGAAAGAGTTCAAAAGATTATGCTTAGTAATATTATGTCTCCCAAGTCCATGGATATTATTTTCAAAAGAATTGATTTGTCATCCAAAGAGAATTAACGGCACAACAACTTGTTGTCGTTTACTATCCATTCCTTTTAAATAATATATATTATTTACTATTTATTACAATTTATGTAAAAATGTCAACTAAGTATTCATTCTAAAAAATAACAGTTTTCTCTCTCAAAAAATACTTTCAAAAGTAAACTCATGAGTTGAGAAAGAAGCTCAAACAAAACAAAGAAACCACACAAAGAACACTACCAGACACCACAATGTTCGCCATTGATCTTGCTTTCAATCTGCAACAAAATAGCATTTTTTGTTAAGATAAGTCAAAGATATTTTAGCTAAATTAAGTAGAAAAATATTTATGCTGTAAATAATTTATTTCATTCCCTTAATAGAAGAGGAATTATAGGAACTCTTTTGTGTATATATAGTACCTTGATCAACGAATAAAATTATCAGAATTATTACTTTGAAATGTTTTATATGGTATCTAGAGCCAACACCGTCTCTCTTTCAATATAGGAACGGTGATTTTTTTATTTCTTAGTAATTTCTGATGGCTTCTGATAAAAACAAATCGGAGAATTCTGAAACTTCCGCTGTTGTCCATCTTTCTATTGCTGCCGGCTTCGTAACCAAGTCAAGTATGTCTAACTCTGCTCATAATCCTTCTGTTATTATTAGAAATAGCGATTGGATAATCGATACAGGTGCTACTGATCATATGACTTGTGATCAACACATGTTTACTAATTTCTCTCCTAATTGTCATAAAACTGTTATTATTACTGTCAATGGAGTGGAATCTCCCATTGAAGATGTTGGTACAGTGACTCTATCACCCTCCCTATCAATACCTAATGTCTTATTTGTTCCTACCTTGAATTGCAATCTTATCTCTGTCAGTAAATTAACAAAATCACATTCATGTGTCGCTGTGTTTTACCCAATCCACTGTGTTTTCCAGGATATACATACCAAGGAGAAGATTGACAGTGGTAGATATAGTGAAGGGCTGTATTATCTTGAAAAAGTTTCACAAATCCATAAAGGAGCATTGGTTCATCTTGCAAGTGATCACATACAAGATCAAAATAAAAATAAAAAATTGGCTATGGCATAGACGATTGGGGCATCCCTCCTTTAGTTATCTAAAAAAATTGTTTCCATCGTTATTTCATAAATGCAATATTTCAGATTTTCTTTGTGAAACTTGTGTTATGGCAAAAAGTCATCGTGCTATTTTTCCCTTGAGTAATAAGAAAACAGACTTTCCTTTCTCTTTAGTACACACTAATGTTTGGGGTCCTGCTCCACAATCTACACATAATGGAAAAAATGGTTTATCAGTTTTGTTTATGATTGTACACGGGTAACCTGGGTATATTTGCTACAACATAAAAGTGATGTGTATGATGTGCTTCGCTCCTTTCATCAAATGATAGTAACACAATTTAACACATGTATTAAGGTAATTAGATCAGACAATGGAGGGAAATATTTTAAGAAAGAATTAAAAGATTTTTTGAACTCTAACGACATTTTGCATCAAACAACATGTCCTTATTCCCCCCAACAAAATGGGGTGGCCGAGAGGAAAAATAGACACATATTAGAAGTTACTAGAACACTCCTAATTGATGGTAATGTTCCATCTCATTTGTGGGGCGAGGCTGTGAATTCAACAGTTTACTTAATTAATCGAACCCCCTCTAGTGTGCATAACTTTAGAAGACCTCTAGATGTTTTATCTGATCATCATGTTCTCCCTTCCATTGTTCATTTACTACCTCGTGTTTTTGGATGTGTTATACATGTTCACTTACACCCACATCAACGTACAAAACTTGAAAAACGAGCTCTTAAATGTGTCTTTGTTGGATATGGATCAACTCAAAAAGGTTATCGTGCTTATCACCCATCATCTAAAAAAATTTATATTTCAATGGATGTAACTTTTCATGAAGATAACTTTTTCTATGTTGATTCTACACTTCAAGGGGGGAATGAAAGTGAAGTGTAGCACCATGATGTTAGCATGTTTGACTTATTTTGTGAAGATAAATTATCTTGTGAGGATCATTCTGCAGGTAATGAATCAATCTCAAATATGGACACATCATCTTTAGATAATACAGTTTTCCCTGGCGATAATCAACTAGCTCAATCTTCTCCACAAGATCAAGTTAACTCTCCATAGATATTTCCTAATTCTATTCCCGATAATACAATTATCGATGGAGTTGATACTAATGTTCATTTTGAAGTAGTTACTAATGTTCATTCTGAAGTTGATTCCTTTTCTCATGAAATTGATCCTAGTTTCTATGAGACCACCAACACACCTAACACTGAATCCATTATTGTCCAATATAATCTTCCACCTCGTTCTAACCGTGGTCAACCTCCCATTAGATATGAACCAGACCTTCAGTCCAAAGTTAAATATCCCATTAGTAATTATGTGTCATCTCACAAGTTATCTAAGTCATATGCATCATTTGTATCTCAATTATCCTCAATTTCTATTCCTAGTAATGTGCAAGAAGCTTTAGCAGATCCTAGATGGACTAAAGCAATGGTTGTGAAAATGACAGCTTTAGAAAAAAATAACACTTGGGATCTTGTGACGTTATCAAAAGGGAAGAAAACTGTGGGGTGCAGATGGATTTATACAATTAAACACAAAGCTGGTGGAACTATTGAGAGGTATAAAACACGACTAGTGGCTAAAGGTTACACTCAATCTTACGGTGTAGATTATCAAGAGACATTTACGCCGGTAGCCAAGCTCAACACTGTGAGAATACTTTTGTCACTAGCAGCAAACTAAGATTGGCCTCTTCTACAATTTGATGTGAAAAATGCTTTCTTACATGGAGAAATTTTAGAAGAAATTTATATGGATCTACCACCGGATATGATAGATTCAAATGAGATGAAGGTTTGCAAGTTAAGAAAGACTCTATATGGATTAAAACAATCCCCAAGAGCATGGTTTGGTAGGTTTACTAAGTCTATGAAGGTTTTTGGCTATAAAGCAAGTAACTCTGATCACACCTTATTTTTGAAGAAAGGAGGAGGTAAAATTACAGCTTTGATTATTTATGTAGATGATATGATTGTTACAGGGAATGACCAAGATGAGATGTCTAGTTTGCAAAAATACCTCGCTTCTGAATTTGAGATGAAGTAACTTGGAAACCTCAAATATTTCTTGGGTATTGAAGTAGCTAGATCTAAACATGGTATTTTTCTATGCCAGAGAAAGTATACTCTTGATTTACTATCTGAAACGTGACTGCTTGGGTGTAAACCTGTTGATACCCCAATTGAACAAAATCTTGTGCAACATGATAGAACGAAGCATGTAGAAATCGATAGACATTTTATCAAAGAGAAACTTGAAGCTGGAATAATTTCTTTTTCTTTTGTAAGATTTGAATTTCAGTTAGCAGATGTTCTCACTAAAGGAGTGGCAAGTAAGGTGTTTAATGAGTCTTTGTTCAAGTTGGGAATGTGTGATATCCATGCACCAACTTGAGTGGGGGTGTTAAGATAAGTCAAAGATATTTTAGCTAAATTAAGTAGGAAAATATTTGTGCTGTAAATAATTTATTTCATTCCCTTAATAGAAGAGGAATTATAGGGACTCTTTTGTGTGTATATAGTACCTTGATCAATGAATAAAATTATCAGAATTATTACTTTGAAATGTTCTATATTTTTGTGCAGGAAGAGAGGGTATGATTCGACAAAACAAATGGTTTATTTTTTTTTTTAAGTGTCTGTAAACTTACCATAGAAACACAGTTAACAGAAATATCATAAATATTTATAATTTCAACAGATTATTTTTTTCAATATACAATGACACAATTAGATTTGAACTTACAATCTTGTAATTTCAATACAACAAACACCCTAACAGGAAAATATAAAAAAATAACATATTTTTCCTATAGGTTAACATACAATAATTTTACAACATGGATTATATACACTAAGAACTAAAATGAAAAATTATAACACCAATATAATCATCAGAAACTGAACTAGAATTTCATCTTTGAATGTAGAGAGCAGCACCTACTAATCCCAACCATATTGTTAAACCAACCCAGAATGCTCGGTTTTTCCCTAATCCAGTAGGAGGGCTCCACACAAGAGAATCCAAAAGGTTATCTTTTGATGATGGAAATGGAGTATTCACTGTTCCACTCTTTCTATCTTTGTTTTTATCGCTCCATGTTCCCGCATAACTACACATTTATAAATAACACACATGATATATATCTCATTTTTTCAATGTCGTAAAAATAACATGAATACTACAACAATAACAACAACAACAACAAGCCTTATCCAATAAGTAGAATCGGCTACTACATTGATCAAACTACGTCATAATGTTCTATAAAAAAATCATGAAGGATAATACAGCAGTTTTAAATTTGCAGTTATTATCAAACCAACCAAAAAAATTAGTTATAACATTCCTTAATACTATTTGTCAGAGACAGTTTAAAGAGATATATCTGATTTACAAGAACAATTTGAATCCTTCACAGATTTGAATCATGGACATTTAATTCCTTCTAGTCCTTAAATGCTTACTTCAAAATAGTTGAGCTACCCAACTCCCTCTACAAGATGTCATATATGAAGAGAATTGTTGAATGAACAATGAATGATGGTGATTGATGATTTTTTCAACTGTCAGACTAACATTCCTTCATGGCCACGGCCAATGCAGAAGCTTCTAGGAGCCTAGTGTATTTGGAAAACACTAAAATCATCACGGATCAGAATCTATACACTGAAGCCTATATAATTCACAGTGAGAACAGTATACTTGTGATGGCGATTGCCACCTCCCAACCAAACCCACGCATGCAACAGGAAGAAAAAGCTAACCCTACCACTGCTCAGCCTCAACCACTGCACGTGCAAAATCATGACACATCCTAAAGGCATCCCTTTTAAATTCCCACGAAAATTCTAGCACAAAGAATTCTTTCCTGCTTTACAAACTATCTTAACAATCCTCCACTCTCTCGGTTTGAACATTAGTTAATGTAAGTATTTTGAAGTTTCTTCATAGTTTGTGGTAATTAAATGCTTTGAACCGTTATCATTTGTGTTGGAATCGGAAACACCACAAACACAATCAATATATACTTTATGTTAATGCCTGATGGAACATCATTAGGCCTGTTTATCTGTATATAGCAAGTTATAGCTGTAACACTCTCCTGCCATATGTAGAGGTTGTATCTTAGCTTTTCATCTGTATTTGAACTCTGGACTTTTATCATGGTATCTTAGCTTTAACACTCCTACCATATGTAGAGGTTATAGCTGTTTATCTGTATTTGAACTCTGGACTTTTATCATGGTATCTTAGCTTTTGAGACCTCAAGACCATTTAACCTTTGAACTAGATTTGTTCAAGAGAAAGGTTGGGTTTCTATTACTAGAAATTATAACTAAAGGGTTTTAATCTATTTAAATATTTTCCCCAATCACCAATTATCCGAGTTAAGGATCTCAATCCCTGCTTCCATACTAGATTATTAATCATCTAAGAACTCAAGATCGTGCCTTAGCAGCAAGAAATCAAGGGAAACAAACCAGAAAAATAGCACTACCATATGCAAAAAGGAAATCCAGAAACTAATGAATAAAAAAATTCGAATGAATCTAATCAGTAACATGAACAGTCAAAGGACCTGTCATAACTGTCACCAATCAAAGGTATAGTGACCATCTCCTCTTGGGTTATCTTGAGCTTTGGTGCTTGCAAAATGTAACGAAGCTCGGCAGCTTGGCGCCGGATGCTAACACTAGGGTGTGACTTTTCTAATTGCTTGTATAGATCAATGCAATCGCTATGGCGATAATTGGCCTCATAAGCCATGGCTAGCCATATTTGTATCTGAAATTTACAAAAAATTTAATAGAAAGGCACTTTTTTAGTTTTTACTTCCTTTTTCAACAATTAGAGACATATTGAAATAAACCTAAGAAAGAACAAGCAGATATTTTAAAATTTCGTAAAAAATCAACTAACCTCGCCACCGAATAATGTAGGTCTTGGTATGATAGTGAGCGCACCTTCGAGAAATTCAATGGCACGTCCATACATGCCTCTCCCGTAAGCTTTCTGACCCAAATCGAACATCAACTGAGCCATGGCTCTCCTCTCGGCCTGCTCCTTAGCCACCTGAGTGGTCAAAAAAACAATATAACTACTAAATGCACACACAATATGACGTTCGGCTAACAATTTCAGTTTCTAACCATTGAGCAAGGATTTGCATACTAATTCTCTATCTTTCTAATTATTTTTAAAAGGCAAATACATGAAAGGTTATTTTAATACATTTGAATACAGTTACTATTACAACCAACTGAGTTATTAAAAATAGAGTAATTAAGAATTAAGAAAAGATAATCATCATTAAAAAAAGTTATTAAGATATGATTAGTTTAATTGATTCAAACCTTTTCGAGCTCTTTCCTAACTCTCATCCTCTTCTCTTCCTCACTAATCTCTTCATCTCCATAATCGATTGTCTCACTCTGCAAATATTCTTCAGCTTTCTTCTCAAGCTCTCTCCTCTCCTCAAACTCCCTCACTCTCATCCTGATCCTCTTCTCAAAATCATCCCCATCCCCATCCCCAGCCCCTCCTTCCTCATCACTCGCGTCAAAATCAACCCCGTTCTGCTCTGAGTTCGACTTCCCACGCGCCACCACCACGCGCCCTCCGTCGTATCCATAACTACAACCGCAAGAGGAGGAGGAAGTAGAAGAAGAAGAAGGTAAGGTGAGAATTGCGTCTACGCCAATAAGACGAGGCTTTCTATCGAGAGATAAGGTTCGCGGTGAAGAAATGTCGAGTAGTAACGCTAGGTTTCCCAAGCTTACAACCATGGTAGAAAAGAGAGAAAGAAGAGATGAATATTGAAACGGTGTAGTTTCGATGGAGATATTTAGTTTTGTGAGGATGAAGATGGCTGTGGAAAAATGTTGGTTTTGCGGACTAAGATGGTAACGTGGAGCGGTGTAGGCCAGTTACGTGTAACATGTTCTATTATATAAACGATGCCGTTTTTCCCTTATATTAGTCAAATGCATGGTTCCAATACAAAATGGATCATCTCCTGTTTTTTTGTCATGCTCCAATATTAGCCCTTCATATACTAGTAAACATGGTTTACTCTATGCATTGGGTTAAAATGAATGGCTATGATTGGGCTGGACCTTCCAGCCACCGGAGAGGATCCATGTCCGTTCCAACAGATGATGAATCAGATAAATGAAAAGAAATTGTTTTTATTTTAGTGTATTTTTATTTTTTCTTGGAAACATCTCACGGTGATGTGGCGACGTATTCATCCAAAATCCATATTTTATTTTAGGAGAAAAACGATGAATCTAATTAAAACTCAGAAAAAATTTAGTGTACCACCTCACTAACAAAGGAGCACAACACCACAAAGTTCTCCGTCTTCGGGCAGTACGAGCATAAAGTTGTTGCAGGATATCACCCAAGAGAGTGGGTACAGGGTTCCGGGACATGAAGATCCTTATGGCATTGATATTGACAAAGTTATCAGGATTTGGAAACAATACCAGACCATAGATTAAGAGAGCCAGGATGTCTTCGTACGCCCTGAAGTCTAAGTTATTCCAGAAACTGTTAGCTTTACCAATCAGAAACTTAGCCAAAAAGCCCTTAACTCCTCTTCTAGTCACCCAGTTGTCCATTACTTCTTTGGTGGTCAAGGGAAGGACTGCGGCAATCTTCTCAAGCCTGAGAGTCTTTTCCCAACCAGTGAAAGGAGTCTGTTCCAAAACAGGGATACCAAGCAAATCAGCGAATTCTTCCAGGGTAGGGACCAGCTGGAAGTCTTGAAAGGTGAAGCAATGGTACAGGGGATCATAAAACTGGGTCAGGACACTCATCAGTTGTTGGTCCCACTTTGAAGTGACTAAACCGAGAAGAGAACCATGCCTCTGGATGAAGGAAGTAGTGTTTGGAATTCTGCTAACCAATTCTTTGAGCAGATCAGGTGGGTGAACAAAATTGAGCCGGATAGTATTCCTTCGCACAGGCATCATGATGTCCTACAAAACAGAGCAAAGATGAAACTGTTTACCGTGGTTATTGGTAAACAACCGCTGATCCTCCAAATGGTTACTTATTTGGTTACTCGCAGGATCGATCAGATTGATCCTAGGACATAGGTTGATTTTGAGGTTTTGACTAAATTGGATAATGGTTAAATGACAATAAAATAAAGAGGCTTTAAGTAAATTGCATGAAGAAGTAGGCTTGGTAAAATAAATGAAGGCTTAAAGTAAAGGACTTCGACAGGAAAGTAAAGAAGAAAGCAAGTAAAGTTTCTGGGAAAGTAAATGACTTTGATTAATAAAGTTGGTGTTTCACACATACATTTCTCAACAATTCTTTCTCACACGCTGGGTACTCGAATCTATATGAGTGACTTTGTATATAATTGTGAACACACGCGAGAATCTGCGTGAACTACTACTATTTATACTAAAACATCCCAAGTAACCGTCGGGCAGTTACACTGCTTCGAGATGATCCCACTTGGCACGTTCTCAATGTTCGACGCCCCAGATCTTTGCACGTTGCACTTGGTAACCGCTGGAAACCGTTTTCCCTCCAAATGCTTGAATTTCAAACCGTTCCACTCTGAACCATCGAACACCTTCGTCGAGAAGCATCTTCGACGAGAAACACCTTCGACCTCGAAGGCAACCAACTTCTCCTTTGGAAGAAATCTTCTAAGTACATTACCATCTTTCGATGGGCGTTTCGACGGACCTAGCTGGTCGAAAACAACCTTCAGCTTTAATGGCTGACATTAATGAAACAAGGGTGTCGAATTTAAGAGCCAACAGAAACCCTCTTGTCTTTGAAACGGGTCAGTCCTTATGCAGGATGCATGCAATGGTATGATGGTATGATGTTATGATAAAGCATACCACAAGCATTCACAAAGGCAAACATGATAAGGCACACAAGTCACACAAGACAACCCTTAGAGTTTAGGCCAACATGAAGTTTAGGTACTACCCTCTTTCAGTTTCGTTGGTTAAGACCTGTCCTAGAAAATAGTAACCGGGTTCTAGAGGATCTCAATATCATCGACTACCCTCAATCGGTCATAACTCCAGCGTCACAATCTTTTCTTGCGGCCAGAACCATCGCGAGAGTTTAGCCTCAATGAGTGTAGCATACTGCTACTGTTCTATGGCCAAGTTGGGTCAATTTAGAGTTCTAAGGTCGGTTGGTGCTTAATGACTCCTCAGAAGACCCATATTCTCCTCGTTGCAACACAAGGGATATCGATACAGACCAAGGTGTCACACCAACGTAGCCACTGCTTCACCCGTGTCAGTCTACGCCGGACAGGTCCCTCACAGCTTATGCTACCTAAAGGGTATTCCCCAGATCCGGGTTAGGATCTATGAAACTCCGATGCAAGCCCACAAATATAAAAGCAATCAAGACATACAATTGAAGACATAATAGTGGTCTAATCCTAAGGTACACCTCACTTATATAGAATCCCCAGCAGAGTCGTCAGTTCTGTGATCGGTGGATATAGAACTGACTGTTTTAGAAGCTGGTTCGCGAAATGTCGCGGTAAGCAAGAGTCACCACCGTTTTTTATGTTCTCCAACATGGAAAGGACAAAAGCACAGCAAAATTCCTTTTCGAGATGTTTCTCGGTTTGGGAGGTAGATTATAGAAAGGGAAGGTGTTAGCACCCTTTCTATCCGTGGTTATCCACGGGCTCTTAGGTACTTGCTCACTATGTTTTCAAAAGAGTTTGCTTTTCAAGTGTTTGTGGGTTTTGAAAAAGTTTCATTTGAAAAACTTCTAGGTAACTCTTGTATCAGTCCTCAAGAGTGTATGAAGTATTTGTTTAAAAAACTTTTTGAAAGTGTAGGTGCGAAAAGTTGTTTTTGTTTTTGAAAGAGCAAGTACCCAGGAGAAATCTACCTACTCTAAGGAATTAGGCTGTGTAAGAGTCCTTTAGACAGTACTATCCCACTATTGAGAAGTAGGTAGCACCGTCGTTGGAGTTATTCGGGTCAATTCGATTATGAGGGACATGTGATCACCAAAGTAACAGTAGGACGCCTTAGCGGTAACCCTAATGTCCTAGATCCTTTTTATCCGAGGCAACCATTTCGAGGCAACTGGATCTTTAGACAGGAGGACGACCTCTAAAGCACCCTATACTTGACGACCATGTCGAGGCAACCAAGTGAGGCGTACCCTAGGAGTGGCATGTGCATGTGTGTTAAATTCAGTTAAGATTATCTTGTATGTGTTATTTGTGAGCTACGCTTTGATTTTATTTTCAGACAAGTCTTGCATGCATAATTAACAGTTAATATTATGCGGAAATAAATTGCGGAAAATGAATCTACGCTATTACAAGGCGTCGGGTTTTACATCGCCAAAAACATAACCCTTTGGAAAATAAATACGAGAAATTAAAGAAAGCGATAAAGCCCTAATTAACTATTACATTCTCGGAACAGATACATAAATATAATCAAAAATAATGAATTAAAAATAAATACGCGTACGAAAGAATTGAATCGGGACGTCCTTAGGGTTTTGACCCTTTTTTGAGAAAAGAAAGAAATTTATCCTTAATTAATTCAAGTTAAACCTAATAACTAATTAATTTATTAATTAAAAGAAAAAGTATTTTTTTATGTTTTTTAGGTCTTAATGAAATAAAAAGAAAAGGTCAAAAGTTAGTAAAAAATCCTAAGTCTAATTTATTTTATTTATTGTAAAAGAAAATTAAAATTAAATCTAATTAAACTAAATTAATTCATGTTAGTGTTTATTTACAAAATAATTAATGGTGAAATTAATAAGTAATAATAATAAATAAAAATATTTACATTTTAATTTTCTGAATTTTATTGTGAAAATTATGTTAGTTAAATAAATAATAATAATAATAGTTAGAAATTAGTAAAAGAAAAATAAAAGAAAAATATTTAACCAGGGGGTGATGGGCCCTAAGATGAGGTTTGTAAGCAAATTCTTGGCCCATTTGTTTCAAGCCTGCTTTGACTTTCTGGATCAGGTGCGTGTTCATTGACTAGGGAATACCATGGTCTTTCATCTTTGGCCACTGGTTTTGAGTGGGAAGACACTTGGCGCCTGGGATTTGGAGATGTATGGTAGGCATCATTGGAAAGCGCTGCATGAGAATATGTTAGAAAAAATATCATAGAGCTTTGGGGTGGACCTAGGAATCGAACCCAGGTCCCAATGGTTACCGGCCAGATCACCAACCACTAGGCCATCACGCTGCATTTGTAATTAAGATAAACCATGAATATAATATTAAAACATTAGTGCACGTATTGTAAAACAAACAAAAAGCGCGCGCCATTTGAATTATCCAGTAGCACGCTTACAACGCATCATCGTCCTCGTTTGCCTGTAAAAAGAATAAAGAGATAGCGGGGGTTTTTAACCCCCACAAAGTGTGACGACCCAAAATAGCGAATAGAGCTACGCTCTACATAAATATGGCGCGATGGTCCTGTTAGATTCGTATGAATCTCCTGAATTCAACCATATGCGTTGAAGGTTCCAATTTTGCCTGGATAGTAAAGCCCTAATTCAAGAACTCAAAAACCCTAAAAATCGTTAATGGCAATTCACAATCTTGTGCATTATAATCCAATTAATCAATACCAATAGCTTTGTATGGATGCAAGCAATACAAAACAATTATTAGAACATGTTAATGATGCATAAAATGTGAGTTTCAATTCTGAAAAAGTTAAGGAAACCGTATCACTGTTCTTGCGTATTCTTTGAGTGTTAGCCCTTGATTTGGTTTGCAAAAGGTTTCTGGGAATGCTAGCAATGTATTAGAATCCTTAAATCGCTTTGAAAGGGCCTGGGAGTGAGAGAACAATTTTGAATTTTCTTGACTTTTTTTCAATATTGCATATCGCTTTCTTGCAGAGTTTTCACGTGTGTGGCATTAGGTTTAGGTTATTCATATATAGTAGAATGGATTTAGGTTAAATCTTTGACCAAAAATCCATGGAATTATGGTTTGCATATTTGATTTTCAATCAAATCTTTTAGCATCTTTTTTGATTGAAAAACCTTGCCAAATTGAGAGATTTTGGTCCCCTTGATTGATACACGAAATCTCCAGCATATGTTGACCACTTTTGCTTCACAAAAAGATTTAGAAATCATATCTTGGTATTTTCCTACAATTAAATTAATTAAATGAATTAATAATCAATTAAAAATCCAATTAATTAATAAAAATAAGAAAATAATTCAATTTAATCTCAATGGGTCGTGCATAAGCATTGGACAATGTTTCAAGAAGGAATTTGAGGCCCATTAGCAAAAATGATGTGTTTTGAGCAAAGTTGACTTTTGCAAATTCACAAAAATTTCTCAACTTCTCCAATGCATATCTTGCTCAATTTTGATCATATGAACATGTTCTTGGACATTTTGGAAAGGTCTTGAAGTCCTCTAACCAATGCCTTTGGTCCCATGTCATTTGGATTTACCAATCTCAAGTTATGGTCTTTGACTTAAAGTGCATTTTTGTTGACTTTTGAAATTAACCTATAATGTAGAAATTGATAACTTTTTGTGAGAGTATTTATTGGACTTGGAATGTGAAGATGAGTTGTAGGAAATGTCATCCCCTTCAAAATGAGCATTGGATGGGATTTTTCTGATGAACCATGAAAAAGTTATGCATTGGTCAAGATACAGTTGACTTTTCTGCTGTCCAAAAATAGTAACTTTTGCATCCTTGATGATTTTTGAGCCATGCTTGTGGAATCATGATCAAGACTTGATCAAATGATGATCATGGACTCAAAATAAGATGTTGACCAAATTTTTTGACTTTTGACTGCAAAATGACCATTTTACCCCTGCAGTTGACTATGAAACAAATAGAGCTTTTGACTGTGCAATTTGACCCTGTGAGTCTTGAAACTTGACATGTAGATGCTTGACAATGTATATGGGCACATGGGACTTGATTGGACCATTGAAAACCTCAAATTATTTGAGAGAACCAAAACCCTAATTTTGACTGGCTTATGAGGCAGTTGGACTGTGTAATCCTTGAGTGGTCTTGAACCATTTGAAGATGATTCTTGACAATTCTTGAAGAATATGGGAGGGCAAATTTTGGGGTACAACATAGGGTTTCGGTGAGAAGAGAGGAAAAAAAGTTTCAGAATGTGGAAAAGAATAAAAGACTAAGTTGATTGGTTTTTTATAGTGTGGAAGTTTAAACATCCACTAAGTGAGACTAGGATACGTGGGAGTCGTGGGTTGGATTGAGAAAGAGGTGGCGTAAAGGCTGATATTGGTAATAAGCGTGATTAATAATAATCATTGTTTTGTAACTGCACCATGCTGTGAAATACTGATTCAAGACGGTTAAGAAATCCAAGAGGCGTCGTGATTGACGTGATGAGAGTCATACACAATAAATGCTACGATTACTCAAATGTCACATCAAAATCTTGCAAATATATTTAAAATAAGTGTTTCTCAAAGGATCGAAATACATATTTTAAAGGGACATTTTGTTGGCTGAAGATTTTGATGACACAGTTCGAAATGAAGCAAATTGGATGTTTTGTTGGAATAGAGCAAGATGTTACGGTTCGGAATGGTAGAAGCAGTTCTTCGAGCGGGCATGTCTAAGCACGGAGCTTCGAGTGACAGTTGAAGATATATTTAAAAGAGGCCTCGAAGTGGTATCGAGACTGTATCTGTGAAATGAGTTCGAAGCGAAGATTACCAAGGCATTTGAAATTCAAACGCGAGCGGGATGTTGGGATTCAAATATATATGCGCTGGAGCATTCGAAGACGCGTTGAAGCTAGAGAGGAGCAGTGCTCTGCATGTTCTGAACGTGGCAGAATCTTATAGGCAAGACCGTTATGGTCGAAGTAGTATAAATAGAAGTCTTAGCATTAGGATTTCGTGTGTCATATCTATTGTACAAAATTCAGTAAACATTCAAAATACCACATGGCTAGGGAAACGAATGCTCGAACAATGTACGTATGATAACACCAAATATTTATAATTCAGTAAAACTCTTTATCTTTTCCAGTTTATCTTCTATCTTCATGTCAATGTCATTCAAATACCTTTACCTTCAAAGTCATTTACTGATTTCTTGCATTTAAACGCTTTTCTTCTATTTCGAATCCTTTACATTTCAGAAACTCTTTTACATTTCATGCTTTTATATTCATGCTTTTACATCAAACACCTTTACCTTCAAAGTCATTTACTGATTTCTTGCATTTAAACGCTTTTCTTCTATTTCGAATCCTTTACATTTCAGAAACTCTTTTACGTTTCATGCTCTTATATTCATGCTTTTTTCATTAAAGTCTTTACATTCAAAGTCATTTACTTATTTCTTGCATTTTAACATTTCTTTGCAATCGAATCTTTATTCATGCAATTCAGTTTCGTATGTCTTTACTTGATCATGTCATTAGAACCTTTTAATATGGTAATCGAAGTGAGTTGAACGTCTATAAAACATTCCAAATACAAATCCTAACTATGAATATCAGTTTTACAATTAGAGTTATCCAAACGACCAATACCCCATTGGATCAATCTAGTCGATCCTGCAAGTTACCAAAGAGATTAAATAACAGCCATTAAGATTATTTGATAGTTTGGAGGACTAGCGGTTGTTTACCAGAAATCACTGTAAACACCTTCGCCTTTGATGCTGACACGGAGGTTTGTTCTTCTAGTCGAAGGCCACAAGACTTTTCCCGTCGAAGGTCTGATGGTGATGTTTGGTCGAAGACCAATTTGTAACTTAAATATTTTCTCTAAGTTTTTTCCATCCGTCGAAGTATTTTCCAGCTTGACTTTATCTGTTCTATTTTGGTCCATGGGACCAATATATAGTAGGTGTCGAATTCAAGAGCCAACAACTGTGTGTTGGAAAATTTTCTATGAAATATGTTTATTCCCAGCTGAGAAGAGATGATTCGGTGGTTAGTTGGAAGTCCATCATCTTCAAAAACCCTGCTAGGCCTAGAGCTGTTGTTACCCTCTGGTTGGCCTGTCATCGCAAGCTTGCTACAAAGGATAAACTTGTTAGGTTCGGGTTTATTTCAGATTCTACTTGCCGTTTTTGTTCTAGTGTTAAAAATATTAATTATATTCTGTTTGATTGTATTGGGTTGAGACAATTTTGGATTGATGTCCTAAAGTGGATTAATATTAGTCATACCCCCAAGCCTTGGAATGAGAAATTGTTGTGGATTATTGAGAAAAGCAAGGGCAAAGGTTGGAGGAGCACTCTGTTCAAGTTTGCTATCACGGAGACGATCTATGGTATTTGAATATACTGTAATGAAGCTTGCTTTGGGGAGAAAGTTGAGTATTTGAAAGCCTTGAGACATATTATGGATGCCATCATTTATAAGGGGTGGCATTGTAGAATTCTCAAAAAACATATTGTTTATCTAATGATGTAATAGTGTAATATTTGCTCTTCTTAGAATTGTGAGTTTGATCTATTTTGATCACCTTGTAATTGTGGCTTATTATAATCAAAGTTTTGACATGTTAAAAAAAAACATTTAAAAACTAGATGTAGTAATTAAAAAAAAGAAGTTTTTTTTTTCTCTGTGAAAACATGACAAAGCTAAGTGGGTCAAAATTTCTCTACTACCAAGAAAGAAGAGACTCCATCGAGTGAGAAAAAAAAGGGTTTTTTGCTTTTGTTCGCGATCGAAACGAAAAGCATCACATTTGACAACAATTCGAATCGAAAATCTTTTTTCCTCTTATCCATGGACTCATACCAACAACCACCTCACGGTGGTTACATGAGGCCACCTCAACCACCACCCCCTCCTCCGCCACACACGGCGGATCCCCATCAACAACACCACCAGTATCACCAGATGCCGCCGCCTCCTCCTCCTCAAGGCCCCTGGTTCACACCTCAATTTCAGTACCAGACTCCTTCTCCTCCACAGCAGTGGCCTCCACCTCCGACTCCGACACCTCCTCCTCCTCCTCCGTCGAATCCTTATTCCTATCATCCCAGCCAGTTCCCTCCTCCACCTCCTCATCATGCTCGTCCTCCTCCTCAGTTTCAGCCTCACTCTCACATTCCACAGGCTTATCCTCAGGTGAAATATCTTTCTTACCCTTGCTGCTAGGGTTTGTTTGATTTACACTTTTTCATTTTTGATTATTGTAATCTCATTCATCGTTTGAAATTTTTTAGGAATGGAACAACAACCCTGGCTGGCCTCAAAACCAAGCGTATCCAGGTTGGTTTAAATCTGTTCTTTTACCAGAGTTAGGGTTTTTATCTTTGTTAGTAAGTTGAAGTTTGGAGGATTTGGAAGTTATTATAGTTGAGGGAAACAAATGGAAAAAAGCAAAGAATGAAAATGCATGTGTTATTGTGGTGATGTTTTTTGTTGTTAGTCGAGTTCATTGTTTTGTCGTTTACAAAATATGATTCACGCTTCCTTTCATTTGTATGTTTTAGTTAATGAAGTTATTGTGATTTGTTACTTACACTGAATAACGATAAAAAAAGATACCTCTGTGTGTACGAGAAAGAGGAGTAAGGAAATCATGATCAAACTAATATTTCAGTTTCAACTGAATTTGTAACACATGTATTATTAATAATTGGTTTGGCATGTAGTCATTGGAGTGATATGATATGACTGTGTAGCGTTTTGTTTGGTTTGTTACATGCGTTTCTTGATACTTTTAAAATTCTATTTGGTCATTTAGAAATTTGGCTTCCCTTCCCACCAAATTTTCTATATGATTTCTTAATGTAGTTGGTGTTGTTGTTTTGTTTGCCATAATGACACGACATGATGGTAGTTCATACGAATGAAGAAGATTGGGCGGCCAAGGCCAGAGCATGGGCCGATGCTAAGTCTGCAATGGAAACTCAGCATCCACAATCACATTATTCGCATACTGGAAGATTGCCAGAGCAAACCCATTATCATGATCCATATCAGCAATCCGTAGACCCACGTTATACTGATGTTCAAAACCAGTCCCATCCATCATCAGGCTATCAACAATTTTCCTTCGTAGATCCAGCTATGCAGAGAAATTCAGGACATTCCCAGGAGGCTGCGTCTGTCAGTTTAGAAGCAGCTTATACTTCAGATGGACATTCATATAGTGCTAGAGACGGGACCAGCATCGGAGATCCAACTGTTTCGTTTGAACAAGCAAACTTCCCTACAAATCCATCCGTTCATCCGCAGGAGGTACCTACTAGTTATAGTTCTGTTGCAGGTAATTATTTATTTAATGTATTGAAATTGCAAGTGAAGCACTTCAGAAATCATTCATAGATAATATTCTAAAATTTTCTGTACTGTTTGTGATGTGACGCCGTTAAAGTTTTATTAAGATGTGGTTGGGCCTAATTCAACCCTACAAAACCGGCTTTTAGGGTGAGGATTGCCCCCACTTATAAACACATGTTCAGGCCATATATTGTCCGATGTGGGACTCTTAACACACCCCCTCACGCCCAGGACTAGACAACTGGAGCGTGGAAATAAATGGTGGATGGCCCACTGGATCTTAAACGAGGCTCTGATACCATATTAAGATGTGGTTGGGCTTAATTCAACCCTACAAAACCGGCTTCTAGGGTGAGGATTGCCCCCACTTATAAACACATGTTCAGGCCATATATTGTCCGATGTGGGACTCTTAACAGGTTCAATGAGAGATCACGGTGGTAGTTGGATTAGTTTAATTTTGCCATTGAATTTTCTTGCTGAATTTGGAATAGTAGTAGGAATCTTGGTTTTGTTATATTTCCAACCATACATATTGTAATATTGGGGTGGGAGCCAAACATCCACTGCGGGGGATGAACCGAGTTAGTGTTGGATCAATGTGGCTGGAATGTCATTGTTTGGAATTTCTTCAAAGACGGCTTCAAAAATATTATCTAGTATCGACACATGCTGTTACTTCTCTTGAGGCCCACATGGATCTAGACACAAAAGACTTATGACTGGGACAGCTGCTTTGGAGAGAGAAACCAAATGGTTAGCTGATAGAATTAAGGTTCTAGTTGCTAATGTTGAACAAATGAAAATGATCAGAAACCCCCAAGAATAAGTGTACATATAAAGGAAACAAGTTATTTTATTTCATTGCATAATTGTACAATTTTATTGTGTTTAAAATGTATCTGTTATTTTTAATAATTGATCATGATTCTTATGACTCATGAATTGTTTTGATTCAGGATTGACAAAATAGATCTTCCAATTTTCAATTTGATTTATGGTTTGATAACCATGAGAGAGATCTCTTTCAACATCTTCACATTATCCGTCCTTACTATCTTTTTAAAGATGCTATCCGGCTAGCACTAGCTTTTGCAAAATCATGGTGGCTCACATTGACTTCAGCATACCCACCATAATACCAAACACGCACCTTATTCCTTTTGGCTTATCCATAATTACTACTATTGTCGATCTTGATAGTTTCTTTTCTATCTTTAAACTGTAGGTATTTGGCAGAAAAACATCTTTACCTCCTTACCCAATAAAACAACCAACATTAAAAGAGTGTGGATCATAGAAATCACCTGCATTGCCCACGCCCCTGATATGAAACTTAGATATATATTATATAACCATGCACATGACTTCAACTAGTAGCTTAAGCTTTTGTGGTAGCTGATTCTTGACATTGCTAGAGAAATAATATATATAACCATTTATGTGTTTTCTCCTAATAGCTTAAGCTTCTGGAATAGTTGGTTCATGACAAGAAATATCTTCATGTAATGCACCCAATTCAGCCAGAAGGTTTCTGCTTTTCAATATCGGTATAAGAACATTATTAGCTTTTTCAAAACCAGCATTATTAGAATTACCTCCTAGAAGCCCATTCTTGTATCCTATGGGTCATGGCCATCCTATACTTGAAATGTTGTCAACCACAAATCGACAACACTCCATTGTTGAGATTGAGAAAATTCCTTTAGTTGTAACTTGTAATTTGCTACAAAAGTCACGGTCTTCCTGAATTTTTTGTTAATTAATTTTGCCATTGAAGTGTCTGAATTTTCGAAATGAGATTGAAAAACTGGAACACATTCATATCTTACTCACGCGGGTCTGTTGACATGCATTTGTAAACACATGTAAATCTGAAGTTGTGTAACAGAAAGTCTATTTTTTTTTATAGAAATATTTGGAACCATATTTAAAATCGCACGTTTACTGTCAAGAAAATTGTTTGTAATCATATCTATTTGCTAGTTGAGCAGAGACACGCACAAGTGGTTCAAATTTAGGAATGTGCGAGCCAATATATTTCTTAGCACCGCCTTGTAGAAGACTTGGCTAGAGAAGAAACCCATTCCCCACCATCCCACTGCTTTATTTGTATCTTATGATTAATCGATGCTTGTCTTATAATTTGGTTTTGATGAACATAAGCAGGCCCTTAGAGAGCCTTATTCTAGGACATGGAGGCTATATTATGATCTTCAGTAATTCATGTTTTCCGTCGTCTATTTTTCCATGCTCAATCTGATTATTGACTTACAGGTAAAGAGGCTGCTGATCAGGTTCAACAGTCATATGCAATGTTTCCTTTGCCAAGTTCCTCATCTCAAGAACAATACCATGCACAACCATCAATGCATGCACCATCCTTTGCATCTCATAGCCATTCTGTTGACTCATCTACCAATCTTGCTGATCAACCTTTAGATTTTGCACCTAGGTTTAGTCGTGATGGTGACCCGCAAATGCAATCTACTTATAATCATCATGATTCTGGTTCTTCAATGAATAACTGGGGTGCTCCAGTGGCACCTGGTGTTGGTTATCCACCAATACCTCCAAGTCTTTCCTCAGGGCCACAGGTTATAAGTTTTGACATATTTTGTTTTTTCTAGTCAACTCGCATGTTTATTTTAACACACCTGACATTTAGTTAATTTAACAGCATGATCCTTCTTTTACTACTCCTGGTCATGTAGCAGCACCATATGGAAGGTTTCCTGGACCTGGTCACCCTTCAACAATTCCACCAAATGGTGCACCCTATTCTCTTAGCACAGTAGCTACTGTTCATCCTACTGCAGCTTTCTCTGCTGATGCATATGGAATTTCCGGTGTCCCCGAACGTCCTAAGAAGGTAAGTACTTTCTGAAGGTTAGTGCTTTGGTATATATGAATCATCAAACCTCATTTGAAAATTTGTTTTTTAGGCGCCAGTCCCTAACTGGCTTAGAGAGGAAATAAAGAAAACAGTCATTGCGGCTCCTTCCGCAGATCATCCAAAAGTGGAAGAAACACTTGTTGGTGATGACATTGATAAATCATATATGAAAGCCGATGATGAGATAGATAGTAAAAGTGTTGATTCGTCCAGATCAGCTGAGGATGAAGAGGACGAAGAGGTTTGCTTCTTTACTATTTCTTCCCATAAAAATAAGTTATCTCTATGTATGTATGAGTGAGTGTGTGTGTGGTTTGATTTGACATTTGTCATATGTATGATCAGGTTGAAGTAGCTAGAACTGCAGCAATCAACCAGGAAATAAAAAAAATTCTTACTGAAGTTCTTTTAAAGGTAAGCGCATTGTTTGAAATGAATGAGTTGTTGTGCCCTATTTAACATCTTTTATTTTTTGGTAGAAAAAAATGTTATGTTTAACATATATACTGTTTGTAGTAGAGAAAAATATATGACAGTTCTAATTTTATATCTTCTTTTTTAGGTTACTGATGAATTGTTTGATGAAATTGCAACCAAAGTTCTTAGTGAAGATGATTTGACTCCTGAAGGTAATTGCCCGATCCTTCTAATTTTTGCGATCTTCCATATACCAAATGATTAAATGCTAGGTATGGAGTATTATGTGTTGGAAGTTCTAACAAATTTTTTTCACCAGTGGATCATAATGTTGCCACTTCAAACCATAAGGCATCAACCTCTCCACCCTCTGCTCTGGTTCCTAAGGCAACTGCTAAAGTTTTAGTTCCAGTTAAAGCTAAGGAAAGAGAGAATGACGGTGCCAATGAAAACTCTAATTCCAGCTCTCCTGGAGATGTTTTAGGTCTTGGAAATTATGGTTCGGATGCTGATGATGAAATTGAGAGTTCCACTGTGCCTGCTCCTGCAAAAGATGCTGCATATATGGTGAATAATGTAGTCAAAACCAACTCATCACTATCCAGAAATGGCAATGGTGCTGCTATTGATCAATTACTTGATGCTAAGATAACCAAAGAAGATGATCATTCTGATTCTTCCAAGATAGTTTCTAAAGATACTAGAGATAATGGGCTTGAAGCAATTGAAAGAAGCCATGATAGATTTAATGGTTTTAGATCTGAAGACATGTCAGGGGTGCCAAGATCTGAATTGCCTGGAAAGAACGGCGTGGAGAAAGCAACAAATGATCATCATGGTAAGGAAAGCAGAAGAAAATCTGAAAAAAATGACCGACATGACAGGAGCTCTTCCGAAAAGGATTCTAAGGAGGTAAAAATTAGTCATAAGACCAGGACAGACGGAAAAGGTGATGAGAGCAAAAGAAGGAAAGAGGAAAGAAACCAAAAAAAGGAACATACAGATTACATCAGTGAGTCAAAAGAAAGAGTAAAAGAGCACAATGTAAGGCATGTGGAGAAGGCAAAGGAACCCGAATCAAGGAAAAGGTCCTCCCGTGCTGATGTCAGGGATGATAGGAGGGGAGCAGAAAAACCTCATAGAGGTAGTACCGCTGAAGATACTAGCCGGAGAAAGGAACATACGAAGGATAAGGGGGAGCATAAATCTAGGCGAAGGGAAGCTCGTGACCATGACAGGCACAGAAGAAGACGTTCGTCTTCAGTAAGCAGTAGGGGTAGAACCAGCAAGGATCATCTGGTTAATCACGCTGATGATTCAAGTGGTGAAGGTTCAGATGGCTCGAAAAGGTTTTGAACAGATTACAGTTGACCTTCATTTGTCTGGTTGTGATATAGTGCCTAATTTCTTCTTTGTACTGCAGGAAGCTGCATTCAAGAAAGCGTGACTTGTCACCATCTCCAGTCAGGTCTAAAAGAAGGTATTATTTATATACTCACAACCTTTTTCAGGTTTGCAATATCAATATTTTGATTATTCCAGAACATATGTCAGATGTTGAGATGAGCTGTTTGTGTTTATGGCTATAGCAATATCTTTCTTCCTGTTCAGACATGAAATCCATTTGCAGTCATTAAATTCACTTGGTTCATTTTTGACATACTTTGATAGTCTTCCATTTTTTGTATGGTTAATAATAACAAATTGGTAGAACAAACATCATTTTCATAGTAATATGAAGTAAAATTGCGTCTTCAAAATCCCAGGACATGATTAGGATGCACAATTTATTACTTTCTGTGTTGGTATTTGAACTGCTAAGTTAGTGCAGCTTGAGAGATTAATACTGTTACAAAAGTAGTGAGTTTGTGTAAAGATTGTTGATATAAAAACATATTTAGCATATGATCTTTGGCTGTTTGCGGTACCAGAAGCTGATATTTATACCACAAATTTAATCAATTGGTTTTTTCTGTAGTTGCAAACTTGAAGTCCTGTTATCATTTTGCTTTTTTAAATGGAATTCTTTTTTAAACAGAATGCTTTTCTTGCTGAACTAGCTGTTATGTTTGAAATATTTCACATCTTCACGCATCAATGCTCTACTGTGTGCAATCTCTCAATTTATTCGTCTGCCATCTGTTTATATGGTATTAGAGAATTAGAGAGGCAAGAAACTTGAAATTTTATGCACAAAGATATGTGGCATTTGTTTATTTTGGATTGTCAGGGTTTCTGTATTGTGTGACCAGGCTATAGAATAGTAACACGGGGACATTTGTAGTTCTTACGAGGTTTTAAGATCTGGTGAAACTTTGGCTGTATCTTACCATATTCAATAGAAAAATATTCAATTTATGGTAATAGGCTGTTTCCTCTGGAAGTGCTGACACTACCAGGTTGAGCTGTTTTCTATAAACTTCGTTTACTTTAAACTCACCAAGTCAGTACGGTGGTTTCATTTTTAGACAAGTTTCGCGGTCTCCTCATAGCAAGCGTTCTCAGCGCAGGCATTCTCCCTATTCTTCTCTTGATAATTCCAGGTTTGTTGCCAATAAGTTATTCATGTTTAAGGTTTATATTTGAGACAAACTTATAAGAATATAAGCTACTCAGGTGAATTTGTATGTGTTCCTATTTACTACATTGGTGCCTTGTTTATTTACAGTTTTTCCTTTTTATGCAGGGGAAGAAGGTCAAGATCCAGATCACCTGTTCGGCGGCATAGGTGAATAGCAAGGGCAGCTGTTGATGTTTCTACCTGGTTCACACAGGAGAACATTGATTTCGAAGATGGGCTAAAGCAAGCTTACAATGCACGGTCTTTGCGAAAGATTATCGCCGAGGATTTATTAAGTGATGACTTGTCCTATTTTTGTAGGTTCAACATAAAGATACAGTTGCTTTCCCAACCTACTATCTTTGGGAAGAAGAACTGGTATAAGACTCTGGTAGAGTTGGATATGTGTGTATTATGTTTTGGTTTGATGTAAAAACTAAAAAATCCAAGCTTTATCTTAGATAGAATTTTGTTATGTATTTAAGTTCCATCATATATTATAATTCCTACTGAGAAGAAGAACTGGTATAACACTCTGGTAACGTTGGGTATTTGCCTATGTATTTGAGATCATAATAAAAAAATTTCCTATTGCATTAGCGAAACAATTCAAATGATTTATTTCATTAAATTGATCTGCTGCCCATTTATTTCAGTGTTTTCCCCCTTCCTGCAGCCTGAATGAATGTTTACTCAATCCAAGTCAGCAAATAGTGAATAGATGAGTTGAATGGTGGATCAGTCATTTCTCCCTCTCACTTTGAGTGGAAGGGGGGACTACAAGGGAATAATGATTTCGATAATGGCCTTATCGTATTTTTACTGGAGATCGAAATGAAGCTTGTGAGTTTTCATCACGAGTAGCGTACTTTTTATAGAGTTCATTATAATGCTATTGTATAAAAACTAAGCTTGCCTCGAAATGTGCATGGTAACACATTTTTTTAAATATAAAGATCAATAAATGTTGTTCACGGATTAAAAAAAAAAAAAAAAAAGAGTAGCCACTGAGAAATTTTATCGGGTCGAGTCGCGGTTCGGTACGCTTTCTTTAAGACGTTTCGCCGGATGCCAACAAAGTGCAAGGCAGTCGATAATAGGCGACGTCTCCAGGATAAAACAGCCCGTTCGAATAAAATACGATTATCACTTGCACTGTGATAAATCGTTCTATGAATAACACCTTCTGATGGTGTAGAAACCACTCGTAGTATCTGCAAAGTAGCAGTCGAAAAACAGAGTAGAGAAAATTGAGATGAAGCAGAATAGAGAGAGAGAAGAAGTGAAAAACGAGATTGTGAATACTAGAGTTATTTGCAAATGAAATAATCACTAATTCAACAAAACGGTTCGAAAAAATAGGAAGAACGTGGGAGAGGGTTGAATTGGCCCAGTCAAAAGTAACTGTTATTGCTTGGTCAGACAGTTATGCGTTTTGACTCTTGGAAGGCAAGTAATTGACACGTCACTAATTTCGTAATTAATTAATATTAAATATTAATTAATTTCCACTATTTTTAATTAATTAATGCTAATTAATTCCACCGAATTAATTAATTATTAATAATCATTAATAATTAATTTTCACCAAAATCCGGTTCAAAAAATTAATTCATCTAGACCGGACCGGACCGAACCGAACCGAGCCGAGCCGACCGGTCGGACGGACGGACGGCGGCGGCGGCGCGCGCGCGTGTGTGTCTAGATGACTTAGTGGTGTGTCCTCACTCCTTAACAAAATTGGGGTGCCCCTTGGGGCCCAACCCAAGTGTCCAAGTTGGAGTATTTATGCACTACTAGAAGTTGTGTTCCCTCCAATGTGGGACTTAAATGAATCCTTTCAAATTCACTCACAAACTAGTTCATTCATGTGCTCATCTATTGCCCATTTAATGTCAATGAATCATTCCAATTCCCAATCCAAGTTGTCATCATTCCAAGATTTCCAACAATCCCCCACTTGAATTTAAAAGGTGATTTTAGAGGTAACGTCAGACGTTTCTAAGATTGTGCATAAGCAAAGGTGTCTATGACTTGAACCTTTGCGTAGCAAGTAGGATTCTGATTCAACAAGAGTGACACAATTGTCTTGAACTCTATCTCAGACATCAGACCCGCACACAACCTTTTCTTTAAGGTGTATTCTAATAGCCCGTGCTTTAATGGCCCTGCACGTGTATCCCGGTTTAGTGAAAGCTCTAGGAATTTTGCCTCGCAATTCCATAGGAACCGACCCAAGTTCCACAATCACCAAGGTGAGTCTATCAAGAGTACTCCTGTAGTCTAGGTACTCCCTCATACAGAGTATAGATCTCATTAAGAGTTTCTATTATCTCAACCTCTTATTACTTCAGGAATCATGCTTCTCTTGCATGATCATCTCATATCACTCACAACTTGTTATTACCCATTGAACCTATTTCTTGGGATCTCCAGTCATTTAGGTCGGGTTACCATTGTGAGCAACTCATATTCATATAGGCATTAGTCCCATCTTATATGATGTGTTATAGACTTTTTCTCTAGCTAATCCTTTCGTCAAAGGATCTGCTAAGTTTTCATCAGTGCGTACATGATCCACTCTTACAGCTCCTTTAGAGATACAGTCTCTAATGGTGCTGTGCTTTCTTCTTATTTGACGTCTTTTACCATTATAATAACGGTTCTCAATTTTTGCAATAGCCGCGGTACTATCGCAGTGGATCAACACAGCTGGCATAGGTTTTTCCCATACGGGAATCTCAGCTAGCAAGCATCTTAACCAACTTGCTTCTTCACTAGCTGTGGCTAGTGCTATCATTTCAGACTCCATTGTGGACTGAGCCAGAATGGTCTGTTTCTTTGATTTCCAAGATACAGCTCCTCCGGCTATACTAAATATATAGCCACTAGTAGCTTTGGAATCATCTGACAAAGTATTCCAATCAGCATCACTGTATCCTTCAAGTACAGCAGGAAATCTCTGATAATGTAAACCGAGGTTCACAGTCTTTTTAAGATATCTCATGACTCGCTCAATAGCTTGCCAATGTTCATTACTTGGTCTACTAGTAAACCTGCACAACAATCCCACGACATATGCAATGTCAGGTCTAGTACAGTCAGTAGCATATCTAAGACTTCCAATGATACTTGCATATTCTGTCTGTTTAACACTTTCACCAGTGTTCTTAAACAGTTTCATGCTTGGATCGTATGGAGTGCTAGCAGGTTCACAATCAAAGTAATTATATTTCTTTAAGATCTTTTCCACATAGTGTGATTGATCCAAAGAAATTCCTTGTTTGGATCTAGTGATCTTGATACCGAGGATTAAATTTGCTTCTCCCAGGTCTTTCATATCAAAGTTGTTGCACAACAAAGATTTCACATCATTAATAGTCTGAATGTTTGATCCAAATATAAGTAGATCATCTACATAAAGACATATGATAGTGCAAATGCGATTCTCAGATTTGTAATAAACGCATTTGTCACTTTCATTCACTTTATATCCATTTGATATCATTAAGTTATCAAATTTTTCATGCCATTGCTTAGGGGCTTGTTTTAGTCCATATAGAGACTTGTCTAACTTACAAACCTTGTTTTCTTGTCCATGGATCACAAACCCTTCTGGTTGTTCCATATAGATTTCTTCCTCTAAGTCACCATTTAAAAAAGCTGTTTTAACATCCATTTGGTGTACTATTAAGTTATAAATAGCAGCAATTGAAATAAGTACCCTAATGGATGTGATTCTTGTGACTGGAGAGAAAGTGTCGAAGAAATCTATATTTTCTCTTTGTCTAAAACCCTTAGCTACAAGGCGAGCCTTGTATTTATCAATAGTTCCATCAGGTTTTAGTTTCTTTTTCAGAACCCATTTACAACCGATCGGTTTGCAACCAGGAGGCAAGTCTACTAAGTGCCATGTCTTGTTAGAATCCAGGGATTCTATCTCATCATTTATAGCTTCTTGCCATAAATCTGCATCTAGAGATGACAGTGCTGCTTGAAGATTTATTGGATCTTCTTCTATATTATAAGCCGCATAATCAGGCCCATAGTCTTTAGCGACTCTTACTCTTTTACTTCTCCGAAGTTTTGTTTCTACTTCGTTGTTGTTTTCTGTACTTCTTATCACAGGAATGTGACTCGATTGGGTGCCCCCACTATTTCTCAGTTTGAAAGGAAATTTGTCTTCATAGAATTCAACATCATTTGATTCTATGATTACTTTTGCATTTAGGTCATAGAACCTATATGCCTTACTGTTTGCTGCATACCCAATGAATACACATTCATATGCTCTACTAGCGAGTTTAACTCGTTTCGGATCCGGAATTCTGACATAAGCCAGGCAGCCCCAAGTTCTCAAATAAGACAAGTTTGGTTGTCTTTTCTTTAATATCTCATATGGTGAGATCTTACTTTTTGACTTGGGGATTCTATTCAGGACGTAGCAAACAGTCAATAAAATTTCCCCCCACCAGTGAGGAGCAGCACCAGAATTTATCATAATTGCAACAACAAGTTCGGTAAGAGTCCTATTCTTTCTTTCTGCTTTACCATTCATTTCAGGAGAATATGGAGCAGTCGTTTCATGTATAATTCCATGTTCTTTATAAAAGTCATTAAATAAACCAGAATCATATTCAGTCCCCCTATCACTACGAAGTCTCTTAATCTTCTTACTAAGTTGATTCTCAATTTCAGTTACATATATCTTAAACATTTCAAGCGCTTCACTTTTATTCTTCATTAAGTATACATAAGTATAATCTGAATAATCATCAATAAAAGTGATAAAATAACGTTTATTGTTTCTAGTTAAACTTCCATCTAATTCGCATATATCAGAATGTATAAGATCTAGGGGATCAGATTCCTTATTAATTGATTTATGCGAAGTCTTGATTATTTTTGCTTGACTACAATATTCACATTTATTTGTATCATTAATACTTAATTTAGGGATTAGGCCCAAGTTGCTCGCATTATGCATAATTCGCTTATTAACGTGACAAAGTCTAGTATGCCAAATATTAAAATCACACAAAGAGTAAACAGAAGGAGAAATCTTATTAAAATCAACATTCAACTTAAACATGCCATCAGTGGCGTACCCTTTCCCAACAAAAATACCATTCTTAGTGATGGTGTACAAATCTGCCCCTAAAGTTTGACTAAACCCTGCCTTATTTAAAAGAAAACCAGAAACAAGATTCTTCCTAATTTCAGGAACGTGCATGACGTCCTTCAAGATCAAAGTCTTTCCTGAGGTGAATTTCAGCTCAACATCCCCAATTCCAGCAACCTTAGTGGTGTGAGCATCTCCCAACAACACTTTCTTATCTTCAGCATTCATGTATGTTTTGAACATAGCACGATCGTAGCAGACATGACGAGAGGCGCCAGTGTCTATCCACCAACCATCACTTCCACCAACCATGTTGACTTCAGTGATCATAGCAATGAATTTCTCATCAGTCAGGTTAACCTGAGCATTTGAGCCAACAACAGGTTTAGGCCTGCTCTTACACCTTTTTGCCATGTGACCCGGTTTCCCACAATTGTAGCAAGTGAAAACCGGAGCATCATTTCTCTGTGGTGGTGGTTGCTGCCTAGCAATTGGAGCATTTGGGGCCCTAGAGGGATTCCCATTCTTAATTCGGTTCATAGCATTGCGGTTCTGATTCTTTAATGGTTTGCCCGTAGGCTTCAGAACCGCACCGAATTTCTTTTTGTTGTTCGAAACAACTAAGACTTCATCTTTCTGATCTTGTCTTCGAGCTTCCTCTTCAATTCGGAGGCGAGTAATCAAACTTTCGATGGAAAACTCTTTGGTTTTATGGCGAAGCATATTTTTGAAATCTTTCCAAGCAGGGGGCAGTTTGTCAATAATAACAGCAATTTGAAATTGTTCATTCAGAGGCATACCTTCAGTTATGATTTCATGAGCAATTTTCTGAATTTCGTGGCTTTGAGTTTCCACAGACTTTTCATCCACCATCTTGTAATTCAAGTAGCGGCTGACAGCATATTTCTTTGCACCTGCTTCTTCGGTATCATATTTCTTTTGCAAAGCTTCCCACACTTCTTTAGCAGTGTTGTAATTACTGTAGTAATCGTACAGGTCATCAGCAAGGCCGTTAAGGATGTGATTTTTGCATAGGTAGTCATTCTCTTGCCATATGGCAATTTCTTTTCGAAGCTGTAAATCATCTGCTGCGGCTTTGGCTTTTGCAGCAGCTTGTGCTTCAGCAGAGCTGGGAGCTTTGTCAGAAGTTACAATGGCTGCAGCATCAGTTTGTTCGGTTGATCCAGAAGGAACAACAGGGATATCCTCAGTCAGAACGTGGGCAACCTTCTTGATAGTCAAGAAAAATCTCATCTTAGCTTGCCAACGTTTGAAATGAGAACCCTCAAACTTAAACGGTTTGTCAGTGACAGCAGCGACCGCATTATTACCGATAATTTCCTCAGTAGCCATGGCAGTTAAGGCAATCGTCTTAAAATTGTTGTTCACGGATTAAAAAAAAAAAAAAAAAAGAGTAGCCACTGAGAAATTTTATCGGGTCGAGTCGCGGTTCGGTACGCTTTCTTTAAGACGTTTCGCCGGATGCCAACAAAGTGCAAGGCAGTCGATAATAGGCGACGTCTCCAGGATAAAACAGCCCGTTCGAATAAAATACGATTATCACTTGCACTGTGATAAATCGTTCTATGAATAACACCTTCTGATGGTGTAGAAACCACCCGTAGTATCTGCAAAGTAGCAGTCGAAAAACAGAGTAGAGAAAATTGAGATGAAGCAGAATAGAGAGAGAGAAGAAGTGAAAAACGAGATTGTGAATACTAGAGTTATTTGCAAATGAAATAATCACTAATTCAACAAAACGGTTCGAAAAAATAGGAAGAACGTGGGAGAGGGTTGAATTGGCCCAGGTCAGACAGTTATGCGTTTTGACTCTTGGAAGGCAAGTAATTGACACGTCACTAATTTCGTAATTAATTAATATTAAATATTAATTAATTTCCACTATTTTTAATTAATTAATGCTAATTAATTCCACCGAATTAATTAATTATTAATAATCATTAATAATTAATTTTCACCAAAATCCGGTTCAAAAAATTAATTCATCTAGACCGGACCGGACCGGCCGGTCGGGCGGGTGTGTCTAGATGACTTAGTGGTGTGTCCTCACTCCTTAACAAAATTGGGGTGCCCCTTGGGGCCCAACCCAAGTGTCCAAGTTGGAGTATTTATGCACTACTAGAAGTTGTGTTCCCTCCAATGTGGGACTTAAATGAATCCTTTCAAATTCACTCACAAACTAGTTCATTCATGTGCTCATCTATTGCCCATTTAATGTCAATGAATCATTCCAATTCCCAATCCAAGTTGTCATCATTCCAAGATTTCCAACAATAAACATGGAAAAAATTAGCTGTTTCAAGGTAGCAAAGCAAATGTGCACAATACCTTGGTTTATAACCATTCTCTCCTTTTCGAATTTAATGTCCCTACATAGTTAGGTTCCAGCCCCCTACTTATCCTAGTTGCGGGGATTATGTCCCTACATAGTTAGGTTCCAGCCCCCTTACTGATCGTAGTTGTAGGGATTGAATTGTGGTCCTCTCTATCAAATTCAACGCAAAACACCACGAGATCAATTAACGATTGGTCGACTTCTATCCTTTACATATGAGTACGTGTAGTTAAGAAAACTTGCAACATCAAACTGTGTTAACTTCTATTTTACTCTTGAATTCTTTTAACATATTAAATTCAATTTATTCTCTATATATTGGATTCCAATGTTTCATCTTCCGTGAAAAAATGGAGGAAGCCAAGCTAACATGCTTGTGACGTCAAATTTCACGTGTTTTAGTATAGTGGCCTAGTGGCTTTGTTAATATTTCATTTCTTTCTTTCTTTCAGTTAAAGCATCACTTCTTTTCTCTTTTATAATTAATAACCCATCAAGAGTTGACAAAAAAAAAACAAGAAATAACACAGTTTTCTCACTAATACAAAAACAAACAAACCATGAAGGTTGTTTTTCCTTTTCCCTTGTTTTCATTCTTCATTCTCTTTCAAAAAGCATACCTTGCTGTTTTTTTTCATAACATGTTACTCTTCTTGCATTTGATTAACAGGCATTTCATGTGGAGCTTTGGTCAGTTTGGCTATCTGGGTTTGTCTTGATACTTCTTTCTCTATATTCAACACAAATATTACCTTCATTCAACAAGGATCGCAATCGAGTTTACAAGCTCAATAAAAATGAACTTTTGGATTCAGGAAACCTTAGCATTACTATATTCACAGCTCCTAAGCCGTTTATGGACTCTACTGGGACTAGGCAGACACTTGCTGTTCGGTCATGGTTGGCTTTGTCTCCATATGTTACTGTTGTTTTGTATAGTCAACATCATTCCGTCGCTTCCTTTGCAAATGCTTTTGATTCCGGCCGGGTTTTAGTTGATATCGACACCGACTTCACGTAAGCAAACTGGCCTTGATGTGTGCTGTTCATGAATTGATATTTATTATAGAAATCATGGTTCTGAATTTAGTTATGCCTGATGTACAAGGAGAAATCTTAACTACTTACCAATCTATCTTTTTGTTTCTCCAGCTTCCTTGGCAGTCCTTTTTTCCATTCCATGGTTGCCAAATCGCATTCATTTCCATCAGACATATTTGTTATCGTTGATCCTGAAACAGTTATTGTTTCCGGATTCATCTCCACCCTAAATCATGTCTATGAACTCAACCACGATTGGCTTCTTGTTGCTTCACCTCAAAGTGCTTCTAATTTGGATAATAAGAAACAAGTGAGAGTTCAAGAGGTATGAAAAATTTCCAAAGGTCTCTGAGCATGTAAACAATGCCAGACATTTGCATACTCATCTTTCATGCTCAAGTTCTCAACACAAAACTATATTGAATTGTTCCTATTTTCCTGCTGCAGAATATACTGCAACAGTATCGGCCGCGGAATCATTGTTATAATGTAGAAAGAATGCTCATCGCATGGAATAACAAGGATATGCCTCTACATAATGGAGTTCTTCCACCTTTCATCTATGGTAAAGGTACTCTTGGGTACGGTTCAAGGGTAATGTTGTAATTTGGACCATAGTCTTAACAGAAAAGAAATGCAGTAGGAGACGTAGGCACAATTGTTCAAACTACGTTATCAAACATTGTGTGTGCATTGTTTTATTTTTCTATCTTTATTCTTCTGAACCAGGGTTTTTGTTCTAACAGGTACACACAACAATTGGATAATTCACGAGGCTATTTCATCCGAGTTCAGGTTTGTGTTTGATGCTAGTTTGACCATCGAAAGTTTCAATCTGAATAACGCGACATTTGAGAATTCAACTTTAAATATTGGAAATAGAAAGTGGGAGTACATTGGTAATTCATATTTAGGAGCACACTATGGATCATTCTTCTATAGTGAAGCTAATTACTCAAACCTGCCCAAAATGTTGACTTGTGAAAACCAATATATCATGGTTGACATCGAGAAAAACATTGTTTATCCAATTGGACACCACGGGGAAGTTAACCGGATGAAGGAAAACGCAATGCGTTGCATTGCTCATCAGAAATCAGTGACCAGAATGTTGGATTTTTCTCTAAAGGATCGGAATAAGTTTTCATCATCTTTGGAGCTTCCGTTTTCCTTAGAATCACTTCTGTCTATCACCGCAGACAGAAATAAAACAATTGTACTAACAGTTGCAGGTTATAGCTACAAGGATATGCTCATGAGTTGGGTTTGCAGATTAAGAAAATTGTCCATTGAAAATTTTATCGTCTCTGCGCTTGATCAAGAAACTTATCAATTCTCCATCTTGCAGGTATGCTCTCTTAATTTCTCTGCAATAAATTTCTCAAGTCTTCTCACACTTTTTGCTATGGCAGGGAATTCCAGTTTTCAAAGATCCTATAGCTCCAAGTGATATTAGTTTTGACGACTGCCACTTCGGAACAAAATGCTTCCAAAGGGTCACAAAAGTGAAGTCAAGAATTGTTTTGAAGATACTCAAACTAGGTTACAATGTACTACTTAGTGATGTGGATACATATTGGTTCAGAAACCCCATTTCCTTACTTCACTCCTTTGGCGCCGCAGTTCTTGTTGCACAGTCCGATGAATACCAAGAACACGGTGCTTATTTTCCATAAATAAGCTGTTCTAGATGCCCCTTTTTGCAAATTTTCTTTTCTTTTAGTCCCTTTTTACAAAAATTGTTAAGCAAATGCTTTTTCTTTATAATTTGTGCAGGACCGATAAACCTACCTAGACGTTTGAACTCGGGCTTCTATTATGCTCATTCTGATAATCAAACAATTGCTGCCATACAGAAAGTGGTAAAGCATGCAGAAACTTCAGGCTTATCTGAGCAACCAAGCTTCTATGACATATTATGCGGAAAGGGTGGATCCAACCGTGTCGGCGTTAACAAATGCAAGGAACCTGAAACAAATGTGACAGTACATTTCTTAGACAGAAACCTTTTTCCTAATGGTGCTTACCAAAACTTGTGGCAAGAAAAAAATGTCAAAGCAACATGTTTAAAGAAAGGATGTTACATTATTCACAACAACTGGATCAGTGGGAGGCTGAAGAAACTTGCACGTCAAGTTTCGTCTGGTTTATGGGAGTACGATCCTAGTACAAGAATGTGTTTGCAGAGTTTGCATAGTATCAAACCACGTGCTCATTAACTTGTCATCGGACGGCTGAGATCGAAAACTGCTAGTTACAGTTACTTCACCAAATCCAAATCCTAAACCACGGTGTTAATATCGAGGAAACTAGTTGATTCCTTCTTATCCATTCTATGCAGAATTTTTGTTCTTATCTCACAAGATTCTAATCAAAATCCAATCCTTTCCCTTTGTCTTCACATGTGCATAGCATTGGATTCATCACCAATTAAATGTAGCCGGCCATAGTATACTAAGAAGGAGTGTTTAAATACTAGTGACATAGCCAACATTACTTCTTCTACCTAACATCATCTTGTGAAAGAATATGATGAAACAGTTAGATTTCATAACTTTGAGTTGTAGGCTATGCTGAAGCGCGTTGTTCACTCGTTAGGATTCGTAGAGAATACCGATAAGAAAGACTCGAGAGTCAAGAAGAAAGGAGGAAACAAGGGATACAAGGATCATCAGTTCAGCTCAAAATCAAAGGATTTTGTCGTTAGAATAGCTCATCCAGGTGGACAACAAGATGTTTATAGACACGCGGTTCCTGTTTACTCGTTGATGACAAAGTATCCAGGTATGTGTATCGCAAGTCCAGATGTTTTCAAACTTCCTCACGAGTCTGTATTATGGCGAGAAGATCTTTTGATTCCTGGTCACAAGTATATTTTAATCTCTTTGAAAGACGTCGAGAAACTCAAAAAAAGGCATCCAGAGAAGGATCAAATCAAAGAGACTAACGGGGTTGTAGAAAAAGAGAAACTCGATACAAAATCCAAGTCTCCTAGTCGATATAAACACAAAGAACCAAACGGAGTTGTAGAAGGAATGAAATTGGACACAAAGATGAAAGAGCATGTTGTGGAAGGAGAAGTTTTAGAGAACTCTTTCAGGTCTGCAAATGAATTTTATAATCCTAAGGAGAAGCCAACAAGACCTTCAAGAAAAAGAGGATTAAGACCAAAGAAAACCTTTGTACCACCTTTTCCAAAGGCAAGGCATTATAGAAGCTATGGATGGAAACCTAGTCTTCCAACTGTGAAAGAACTCTCTCCATGATTTTGTATATCAGTTTTTTCCTTTATACTTTTTGATTGGATCTTTGTTATGTGTCAGATATTGAAATGCGTTGGACACCAGACATACTTTCAATCTAAAACGTCAGTGTTTTATAGACCGTGTAATTTAATTCCTAATTCCTCTTCATGTATCTAATAGACAGTTAGAGTTACTTTTACACCAGGTTAATAAAATCCAAACATCTTCCAACCTTTTTTTCTTCTTTTCCTTTTTGTACATATTTTAGAGAGAAGAATATGAGTAGGAAAAACAAAAAGGTTAAAAAATTAATTTATTAAGTACATCCATTTGTTCTGAATTTTCATTCTTCAAAGCTTAAAGATTGCTAAGTTATTTCAACTTAGCCACAAAAACGCAACATGTCTTCACTTCACATAGAAACCAAATATAGAAAATTTCATCCCGAGATACTTGTGCTGCAAGGCACAGCAATCTTCTCCGAATTTCTCAACAAATGAACAATAATGTCAAAGATAGTGAATTGAATTAAGTAACCAAATACATATAACCTGTTCTTTATATCTTGAAAATGCACACTCATAAAACATTAGACACAAGCTTAGTAAAAATCCATGTGTAAATCACTGATAAGGTAGCGCCAACCGGAATAGTAACTGCCCATGATGCGCAAATCTCCTTCACTGTTTCTGATCTCACACTGTTAAGTCCTCTTGCAAATCCAACTCCCATTACTGCACCAACTAATGTATGTGTTGCCGATATTGGTAGCCCTAGCTTTGAAGCACACAAAACAACCGACGCAGCAGCAAATTCGGCTGCAAATCCTCTCGTCGGCGTAAGTTCTGTTATTTTCTTTCCAATCGTAGCTATAACTCTATAACCCCACATCATTAGCCCTGCAACTATTCCAAATCCACCCCAAGCAAGAACATCGATCGGAATAACTATCTCAGCTCCTTTTGCAGCGCCTTGCAGAATAGCTAGTGCACCGGCTAACGGACCTATCGCGTTGGAAACATCATTTCCACCATGAGCAAATGACATGAAACATGCTGATAAAACCTGCATGTAACCGAAAACTCCGTAAACTATTTCAAGCTGAGTGCCCTTTGGACCTGCAATATCAGATAGGAAGCCTATGTTTTGGTGCGACGTATCGTCTTTTGGCTCAAGTTGTGGAGCGTTTGCCTTGTCTAGAAGATGTCCGAGTTGTTTTCTGATTGTTCTGTCAACCAGGAAAGCCCCGACAGTTCCACAGGCTAAAGCTTGACTTAGAGCTATAGGAAAAGTCTTGCTAAGAGGAAAGGCGGAAAAGGAAATTCCGGTTACACCAAGAAATACAGCAATTGGTGCTGCTGCAGCTGCCGCTTGTCCCGGGTTACTTGCACTATACACAAACTGTATGAGAGAAAAAATTAGTGGTTGAATGAGTCAGGAAAAGTACAAATCGAAAAAAAAACAAATGTTGAGTTGAAGAGATTACCCTTCGGATGCATTTGTATACAAGAAACGAGACAGCAGCTCCCACTAGCGGCGAGAATATCCATGAAGAAATGACTCTTGCCAGTGAACCCCAGAAAACAGCACCAGAGCCTCCATAAACTAGTCCAAACCCCACCATTGCTCCTACTATACAATGTGTAGTAGATACTGGCCAACCATAATATGATGCAATCTGCATAGTACTGAAAATTTAGTAGCTAACTAAGTTCATTGGGTTATAACTAAAGCATAACTTTTACTCATTTTTTCCTTCTTCTTTTGAACAAAACTAAAAGAAAATTACTATTTGCCAATAACTCAGAAAACTCAATAACTACAAGTTGTTTCAAGGAAACAATGAGTGTCTGTTAAGAAACAAGACAACTCTTGTCTTTGATGATATAAATTTGCTATTGCGATGTAGTTGGCGAGGCTGATAAAATGCAGCCACACGGTCGCAATTGCTTTTACCTTAATGTAATCGTAATTTAAAACTATGTTCTTAACTTCTGAATTCCAACAAGGTTTTCTCATTAACAGTTATCTCAACATGCCCAAAAATTGAACCAAACTTACACTAAATTGGACTCAAACTCAAGTGGTTAGTGAGCTACAATTAAAGACGAATCGTTTAGGAGATTCCGATTTCGAATACTAGCTTGAAGAATCATAGACCAGACTGAAAAATGCACGAAGTTGTGAAGCTAAAAGTGTATACCTGTAACCAAGTACCAGCAGCAGCTAGTGAAGAAAGCAATCCTGCAAAGAGAAGAGAATCCTTCCCTTGAAACACATCAGCAACAAGAATCCCCTTCTGCATTGTGCTAGTCACATGAGTTCCCATCAACAATGCACCAGAAAACTCCAACACTGCAGCAGTCAACACAGCTTGCCTAAGAGTCAATGCACCAGATCCAACAGAAGTTCCCATTGCATTTGCAACATCATTAGCACCAATGTTCCAAGCCATGTAGAATCCAAACAAAAGTGTTGCATAGGATAAAACCCTTGTCTTCACAGCCAAACCTTGTTCTAGAGAAGACATAAACAAAGGAAAAATAAGTGCAGCCACTGCTATACATATTGTTATAGCAGAAGCTGTTCTTGATGATATGTTAAATGCTTTTGCCATTCCTGATACTTCATTATTATTATTCTCTTTCTCTCCATTTTGGTGTTGTCCCTCTTCTCCTTCTGCAAAAGATGATAAGGTAGCAAAAGGGTGTGAGAGCTTGCAGTTTCTCAAACTTTTTGTTATATTTGGTGAAAGAGGTAGAGGCTTGACATGAAGAAAGTCTCTAAGAAACAAAGGCGAAGTGTTTTTGGAAAGAAAGATATGAGATTTTCTAAGGAAAAGAGAAGAGGTTGTTGTTTTTGAGTGTTTGGTTAAAGAGAAACCACAAGAGTGATTCAAATTCATTTCTAAGGAAAAAAGTGTGTGTGTTTTGGAATCTTTTGTGATTATTTAGGAAGATTCTTAGCCATGAAAATGAGGAGGAAGAGGAAAGATGAAGAGAAAGAGTGGAAGTAGTAGGTGATGGTGGTGAAGAGTGAAAGGAATGTGGTAGAAAAAAGCATTTTGATATTTTACAATTTTGTTAAAGGAGGAATAAGAGAATGGATTTGGATGCTTTGTTTGGTTCATAGAAATGAGTGGTGAATGGAGCTTGTTGAGGTTTTGTAAAGTTGTTAAATCCTTGTCAACCATATATTTGTATTCCATTATAGCAAGAAAAATAGTTGAAATTTGATAATATTATGGTTGAGATTTGGAAAATGAGAAATTTTGACAAAACATTATCTAGAGATAAAAGAGTACGACATTTTGTGTCTATGTGAGTTACACGTGTATAGATTGGCTTACTTTGTTGATTCCATGTTTATGTTTATTGTATTGTGTGTCTTGAATTGAAGATTCTCTCTGAATCATAGATAAAATGTGCTATGTGTAATTATTAGTATTATTGTGAACATGTTTCACTTTCACAAAGCTTTGTCATTCTATATCTCTCTTTTATTTTTCACTAATTTTTCTTCTACTTCACCATTTCCTTTCATCTCATTTTCTCCATCTTTTTAACTCAATTTTTTCAGTTATAAGGAGGGCATATACCCAAAAAGAAAACTACAACACGACTAAATGAGAGACTATAGTCTCTAACAAATCAACATCTAAAGAAGATTTAAACTATATAGTTTATGAGTCATACATACATGTGTCTTCAATAAAATTTATATCATCTTTAATTAAAATATCTACTAACTGATTAGCTTCTCGATAAACATAATTGTCAACCACTTCTTAATCCATCCTTCTTTTTAGCATAACCTCTTATCCATTCTCCATTGTTATCCTAACACCTCCACATCCAACTTAACCATCTTCTAAACACGCTCCATTTGAATTCGATTGAATCTCCTTTTGATTTCTTAAAGTATTATTTGTAACTGTGACATCATTGCCATAATCACTCATAATCTTCACAACA